GGCAGATTTTGAAAGCCAAAGCTGCTATGTTAATGAGCAGAAGAAAGATTTGGATCTCCGGTTAAGCAACGTACTGTAAACAATTAGTTTAACTGAAACATGTTTTCCCTTTTGTAGACATTGGGGAACAAATAGCCAAATGTGCCCATTAAACTAAACTGGGAGGGACCAGGGATTAGAAATTTCTGGAGGTCTATCACCAGGCCATCCAAGTCGTTCTTTGTGGTTCCCACTTTTTTCTTTTTCTCTCTCCCCCCCTGGCTCCCATCTCTCTCTCTCCTCCGTCTCTGTGTCCGCGTGTGTGTCATCTCTCTCTCTCTCTCTCTTTTGCATAATATTTACCTCAAGCTTGCTTCAGGCTAATGTCTCAATAATTTCCCCTCCTTTCTCAGGTCCTTACCACAAAGGACTTGACTAATGATCCATGGACAAAATGAAGCATTTAAATTTATTCATTAATCATTCATCTCCAGCTCATTGAAAACTTTAAACTTCCACAAAATTAAGATAGAACATTGAGGAGTGATTGAGAGAGACAGCTCTCAGTGAGCTAAAAGAGATTGGTAAACACAAAAACAAAAGTACATTAGATGCAGTGTCTGAAAGTGTCACATGGGCATAGATATTGTTACAGTTTACACAAACTTTAAGTACTGAATGGCAAAGCCTTTATTTGGGCCAACACGATGGGGAAATCTGGGGAAGCGAACAGTCACTGTCAACACCGCCAGTAATTATTCTCTCTTCCAATTAATGGTGACATAGATTAATTATCAGATGAGGCAAAGCCAATTGCAATCAGTCACCCAGAGCTGAAATTAGATCGTTCCTGACAGCAGCATGAAAGTCACCTGTTTCATTGTTATGGATTTGCTGTAAGTAAAAGAGTGGCAAAGCATGCTGGGAGGTGAGTGAGTTTTTCGTCCATGGAAGTGTGAAATGGCAAACAGGTGAATGTCCAATTACACTGTTATCTGAACTGTGTGACTTTTCTTGTCTTTTATTTCAGCATCCAAGATACATTGGTTGTTTGCCTAACCATCGTTTTTGCATGAGCCATCTGTCAAAGTCTGGAAGAAATCTAAGATGTGTTCCATTAAATTTGAAGATTCCTCCTGTTCAGAAGCGAGAAACAAACAAAATCAATAAGTACTCATTAATTAAGAAAACAGAGCATGATTATGAAATCATACCCGTGGAAAAGTTACCAACAATAAAAATAACAACAAACACCATTACATTACCCTTTATAGAAGATAAACAGTATAAACACCAAAGAAGAGTGCTTTCCCTATGACCTCCACCTAGTAAGTTCTTAAAAAAGTCAGACTAGCTTTAAGGTAGAAATGAATGAGACAATTGAAATACTCTACTGCTTTAGAGATTCTTTTACTCTTATCATCCTTGCCCCATCCCAATGACTTTTAAATAAATGTATCACACAGAGAAAGTGAAATTTGGGTTATTAGATAAGGCCAAATTATGATGACTTCCATGAGACTTTTCTTCCTAGTGATTCAATGATTGGATGTTTATATTCATTCAACAAATATATTTATTTATAGCAAGGGGGGGAAAATGAAAATTTCTCACTCTCATGGAGTTTACATTCTAATGTAAGGAAAGAAACAACACATAGACATATATATATATATAAAGGTATTTACATAATTAGTAAAATGTGTGAATAAGATATATGTATAATATATATTTATAACTACATGCTGTAGTAATGTAGAATTTCCACCACTTTCCTCTTTCAAACATAAACAAGGGCAAAAAGCAATAACACATGTATGGTTAATTTTTGATAAGCTTGTTCTTAAGGTTTATTTATTACAAAAGATTTTTCTCAAAACATTCTTGTATATAACAAAAATAGTCTTCGCTTTTGTTTTCAGATATTAATAATATGTACTATAAATGTATGCTCTGATTTTCAATGTTGATCTGGTCTGCTGCCATTCTAAATGCATGTTATAACTGAGCCATAATACATATAAGTGGTTTTCTGGGTAATTATTACATGCCTCATCCCTCAAGTGCTATTCATAGCCTCTACACCAAAGGCTAAATTACTTTAATTACCCAAGAAGTGAAATAATCCCTTAAAAGGGCTGGCTCTGGATGTCTCAATGCTATCGTGAACACGTTTTATAAATAGAGAAGTGAAGCTATTCTTAAGCAGGTAAGACATTCTTAATGGAAACTAAGTGATTTGATCTCAAATATATGGTAAGATACACGTTCATATGTATTTCTTGGTGATGTAAATACTTCTATATTTATTTACAAAAAAGATACTTAAAAACCACTTCCCTCTAGGAATAGGAACATACCTCTAAGAAAAGAATGGAGGTTTTAAATAAGAGATAAGTGAAATATTGAAAAATCTATCTGAATAGAGCCTGAAAATATCATTCTGCTCTTAAAGGATCTCATAATTGAATTCAGTCAAGTCGTATGAGGAAAAAGTCCCATGAGAATAGTCCAAGGTGGTAAAAATATTTCAGTCAGAAATGAGCATGTCATAGACACACACAATACTTGGCTGATTAATGGGGTAGGAATGTATTTGTCTTGTTATTGTGAAAGAGAACCATGTTTTAGTCTTTGTAAGAACTTATGTCTTGTTGTAGAGATAGTGTACAAGAATAGTGATGGTGACTGAGCCTAGGTCCTTGAAGTAAGAGACAACACAGGAGAAATTCACATGTAATTTCATTTTGTGATCAGTCCTCATAATCTGCATGAGTCAGTGTGCAGATAGGAGCAAGGTTGACAGGTTTACCATCCAGGCTTTCCTCCTTCAGCCGTTTGTTAGTAATCAAACATTAGCTCTTGCTATCAGAAAGTGTTTAGGTCTACATACAGGAACACGTACTCTATTATAAATATATAGATAGACAAATGGACAAACAATGAATCTAAATCTTAACCTTGTATGATAAATTTAACCAGACCAAGCCTCACTTTAATAAATTGCTAATTATGATTGATATGTGATTTACACAATAAAATGCCAGTTTGCATTCTCTTCATCTTAAATTAGCATTAAAATTACATTCTGGATACATAAGAGTGTTTCTGAGGTGTTCAAAAAGAGTCCATTTGCTTAAATTGGTAGATATTTCTTTCATTTTGTGTTTTCAGTATTGGTTTGGAGTAAAAAAAAAAATCATGGTGAAAATCAATAAAACGATTGATCCAATGTCAAACCAAGCCCTGTGTAAATTACACAGAAAAAGAATAAGCCCACTTTTGAATTAATGAAATTTAAAAAATTAAGATTTATATTTTTCACAGTGTTTGTGTATGGTCAGCACATAGTCATATTTTTAAGGGTATCTTTCATGAACTCTTATCAACTTTTCTTCTTTTGCTTTTTGCAAACTTCATAATGCAAATATTAGATCTAGTAATATAATTTGCTGATTTATACCAAAGAAAAAGATATTTTAATTTTTGTT